TTTATCTCTGAGTTGGATAGAAACATCATCATTATGGAGAAAAATAAGTGTGTGTATGTGTGTGTGTGTACCTATATATTTTCCCCTAGCCAATCTCTATATTGATCAAATTGAACAATTTTATTCTCATAGTTTTTATGAAGAAAAAGCTGCCTATTTGTTTAAAAGGAACAAAAAGGGAACAAGTGGCATGGATGGCCCAGACTTTTACTTTTCTACCATTGATTACTGTTTTGGGTTTTATATTTTAAGTACTTGAAAAGATGTTAGTTACACCTCCAGGACCAAGGCTTTGGTGGTTATTCAAAATAAAAACAATAAATTTGTTACTTAGTGTTCACATCCTCATACAAACGAGGGTTCATGGCAGCAAATGTCACTATATCATAAGAGTTTCAGCCACCTCTGGTACCACCACACCACCCTACACCGATCCCATTTTCAGAAGCACAGGTTAAACTTTATTGTCAAATAGTTTTACAATAGAAACAGGATGTATCAGTTCTCACTGACTTATTGACTTCTAAAATCCTCATGTTAGAAACCAGACATAAATGAACTCATCACTATTTTCTACCCTAGGAAGATAAAGTTTAATAACACTGAGAACAAAACGATTTGTGATTAGCCTCCAAACAATTTGTACCAGGTTATAACTGTTTATTGTCTATCAAAATAATTAAAGCTCAGATTCAGATTATAATTTGTTCTCCTTTTGGTATTTGCCACAATAAGATGGCACAAACTGAACTTTAAGACATTCTCTATGTGCCATTTATGAAGTTTGGGTTAAAAGCAATTTGAACACAATGTGGTCAACTTAAAGAACAAATAATGGGAAGACGTGGACAAGTGGTATTTACTGACATAAGGATAATAGAGATACATTACTAAAAAGAGAATGCAGAACAGGCAGGTCACAGAAAGGCCAGGAATGAGGGAATTATTCTATATTTAAAGAATAATTGTCAATTAATTCCTTGAGAAGCCCACATCCAAATAAGTAGACTGTTATTTCTTGAATTATAAAGCTAATATAAATTTCAGAAAGACAATCTGATTAACATTTTTACCCAAAGTGAAAGCAATGTGAAAAAGAAGTCATAAAGAAAAACCAAGGTGTTAATTAATCAAGGTGAGAATGAAAAATTCAAAGAAACTGACTGATGCTTAACCAAACTCAATGCCTTTACTCTGTGTTACATGCATCCCAGTGTGATAAAAATCTTTAAAATAGCTGTATCCTAAACCTAAACCTTATCCTAAACCTTAATATTTAACCATGTCCCTTTTGTAAATCTTTTAAATTTAAGTTATAAATGTTCAAAAGATTATGAGGTGGGAAAAAGAAAGCTGTTTATTCATATTTGATTTATTTATTTTTAAAAAATATATAACACATAAGAGATGGGATTCCACAGACCGTAGTGACATTCAAGTAGTTCATGAATATCAGAATTCAAGAATCTATGCCCCATTGTCAAAAGCTGTGAAGGTTTTGAGGTATTACCCTACTGCAGGCTAATAAGTAAGCCTGCTACAGTTCCATGGATGCTTACAGAACACATGAGACTGCAGGATCATAGATAGAGGCTAGTTTAATACCCATGGCAATAGTAGTAGGCAGAATATCAGTATTTGCACTATTTCCCTGAGTCTCAGTTCTGACAGTGTGAAACCAATAGGTTCAGATGTTGCTTGCACCACACAGTGAGTTGTATGACAAGAACTCAGAATTTAGGGAACATTAATCTTTTATACTCATCAGTAAGCATGCCTCACTGTTGCCTGCAGGGAAACAGCATCTTTATTACATTGGACGCTAATAAACCTGCCCTTTATTCTACAGGGAAATACTCTCTAATTTCCAAGGCTGTTTTCTATACAGATATTATTTGAAAGGTACTCCAGAGCAAAGGCCATCAGTGCCTCTTCTTACAAGACTTTCAGAAACTTGAGATAGCAATGGAGGATTGTCTTCCAATATCTACTCCTAAAACTTCTCGAGTATCAAAGTGGGACTCTCCTTTCTCCTCCCTAGTGGTATAGCATCCTGTGTATACCCTAATCAAGTAAATCTTACACAGCATATCAATTTTCTGTTTATGAGCTATTAAACAAAATCTATGGGAGGTCATTATTTGGACTGAGGTCCTACACTAGGCCCTAACAGACCAGACCAAACCAAAATGGTCACTCATGCTTAATGCCACATAATCAAACTGAAACTTTACAGAGAGGATAGGTCTCAAAACAGGTCAGTTTTTCTTGAAATCAGATTTCAGTCTACCTGAGTCAGCATAATAAGGAAGCCCCTTCTGCTTTTAATCTTACAAAAAAGTAACTGGAGGTAACCTGAGGTTCATCATTTTTTTTTTCTATTGTTCTGTTTCCTTGTTTCTACTTTACAAACCCCAAGGTATTTCCCAAAGGGAACTCTCATTCTATTTTATAGAATGAAGGCTGCCTTTATTCATGAATCACAAATAAAAGCCAACTAGATCTATAACTAAATCTGTTGTAAATGTTGTCTTTTGGTACTGGTTAAATACAAATATCACTACCATTACAACTATCACTCATATCTGTCTCTCTTATTTTCATCAAAATTCTGATACAAAATAGACCCAGTCAGTATTTTTGTGTACATTAATAAAAGAATTAGTGATGGGTTAATATTTGATACATAAAACAAAACAAAATAATGCCTGCATTAACTTCCCCAGGGGAAGAAAATAATTTTTTTTAAAAAGGAATCTAGGTTACTAATGAGAAATTTTAACTGTAAATTGTAGATACTTTCAATAAAAGTAATTCTTAGTAGATAGTCTTCAGTGATAAAAGATAACCAACAGTTTCAATCTCTTTTGATTACAAATATATTAGCAAGGACTCAGTTCAAAGATGCAAAATTCTTCAAAGACAAAATTCAACTTCAAAGAATCACAATGTGCTCATAGAGGGTGTCTTTTTTAAGGATTTGTCAAGTCTTAGATGAGTTTTTGTAAAATATAATCAGTCTTTTAAAGTTAGCAAATAGACAAGCATGAGAAAAGAATATGTACTTCTAAATGCCTCACAGGGGCATCATACTGCAATACCAATAAAGTATAAAATAGTACATTCCTGCAAAACTTATTAAATAAATAAAAATTATATAAAAAATTTGTTGAAGGTCATTAACATCATTTATTTTTTCTTCCTTTTATATTTTTTTAAATGACACAGGAGAAATAACAAGGCCACTAACACCAGAAAGTCTGTATACCGAAAGACTTTGTTAGTAGCAGCCAATGTACAAAAAAAATCCAAGAGTTTTCAGCATGTGCCCCATAGTGCAAGAGCAATCAGGGCCACATGTTTATAAATTAAAATCACCATCAGCATGTTAGTCCAATTTTGAAAATAGATTAATTTCATCTTTCAGGGTTACATGTATCCATCCCTGCAATATTTTATTTCCTTATCAAAGGCACTTGTCTGAATATTGCAATCATTATAGCCAGAGGTAGATCAGTGGTTTTGGGTTGCTTGGGGAGTGGGTAGTGGTTATTTTCAAGTGTCAACTGTTACTGGAATGTTTACATCGGACATAATAATGTAAATAATTGTCACCATAAAACTACTTTCTAGAATGTACAATACAGAAAATGGAGGAGAGCTATTTTTTAAACATGTCCATAGGAATGTACAAAAGTGGAGATTATTGATATGCTTATATACTCATCCACATCACAAGACCATTGTGTGTGTACAGATTTCTCTCGTTGGAGAGAACTAGAGAGGTTTTCCTTTTCAGTTCACCATTAAAGAGAGAAAACTACTCAGAAACAACCCTCCACAACAACAAAATAATATTTTGTTCACCGTGTATATTCTGGTGTTTGTTTTCAGTAATCCACATGAAAGGATAACGGCAGTGAAATCTGAGCTACATTAAAGGCACAATTGTATTGTTCAGCTTTATGTTTTAATTTGCATTAAAATTTCCTGAGCAGTCTAAGGCTCTGAAAGCCAAAAGGATGTACCTGCAAGAAAAAACTCTGCCCCCATGGATGTACATGTCCTCTGGTCAGTATGGGACGCTCCAAGCCTGAATTATCCAAGAACTCTTCCTCTCAGCTCTTATCCAGGTAGCTGCCACCATCCAATGGCACTTCCAGAGATTGTCCCAGTTTGTCCTCACTGTCTATCAGATGCCCTTGCCTTTAATCTAGTATCCTCAGATTTAGTAACTCCTATCACTGTATTCTCACCACTTTCCCCGGATTATCTCTCAAAGCAAATTCAGCTAAATGCGTCCCACTATTTCTGAAGCCTGATTACCAGATAAGAGTAGACTTCATTTTTCCTATGTCTTTGCATAAGAGTGCAAAACTCTGAATGGTTCTGCCATATTTGTTATACTGGTTTTTCAAGCTTCAGAAAATCATATCCTGAGTATTGGCAGTAGGTATACAATATAGGCTTGCTTTTTATTAAGATATAAATATGTGCCCCTTTTTGAAATTTCAGTTATAAGTAGATGTTACCAGCACACTAAGGATAAGAAATAAAATATAAAGATGTAAAAGTAGTTGGAATATCATTGCCACTACTTGAGTTGAGGAATTAAAGCCTTGGCCTTGTTAATTCCTTTCTGTAAACTCTTCAAAGGTTGGATGATTTCATCCCACCAAGAATCATTATAATTATCATTACTATCATACAGTCAAGTGTAACACCTCTATTTCCAGAACCATTAATAATAGTAGCAAATAGTCAAGCCAATATGATACTTAAAAATATTACATTATCTCACTTGATTTGCATTCATGTCTAAGGTTAAAGATTCTACATAATAATTGCTACTATTCATTAAGCAAGTCACACCATTTCAAAAAAAAACAAGATAGAAAAACCTATATATTTATATTTCCCCAATACGCATTAGTTTTTTTAATCATTCAAGGAATATGATATTAATTTATTAATCTAAATATTGTTTATATGTTTTCCAGAGATAGATAAGGTGGAGTATCAATATCTTTTCTGGGGATCCTAAAAAGGCATTGAAATAGGAGGACTACAGGGAAGGTTTATCCTACATCTTCAAAATGTGCCCAGGAAAGTCTGTACTGGAAGCAAGATTACATTCAAGGACACTGTCACCAGGGGCCTCTTTGAATCAGCGTCAGGATGCAAGTTTGATGTTCTCTCCATGCTGTGAGTAACCTCTGATTACCAGATCACAGATCTTCCAAATTGATTTGGGAAGTATTTATTCTTTTGTCTGAGAATTCTTGGCTGCTCTAGAATGAAAATTTTAGGGCATAAACTGAGGAGCTATTCCCATGTTGTTCACTATGAAGAATCAAGCTGGACCAAAAACATTCATTATCTGTGCACTCAAAGTGGTTCCTGGCTAATATTACATAGAGACCCGGCATGTAACGAAGAATCTGGTTATAGAAATAAATGCTTTTAATGAAAATATCATTTCTATGTAATAATAAGAAACACTGCTTTATTTCCTTTTGCTCATTTTGGTTTTTGTGGCTTTAAACTAGAATGTACTAAATGTGCCTAATAATTTTTAGAGAATCTGTTGTTGGAAACAGCTTTAATAAAAATAAAATGTGTGCCTAATTTTCACACAAACCATAATAAGATCATACTAAAGTAAAGAATACACTTGCACCTTGTGGGGCAATAATTAGAAACTAGAACCTGGAAAACTATAAACGTTGTTATGTAGAACTGTAAGTTTCTCTTGAAATTGGATTTGAACGTAAGTAAACCAAATATAGTAGATGTTTTAATGCAAGACAATGCAGCCAGCTAAATTGTAAAACTACTGTATTTAATTATTTTTGGTTTTTCATTAAGAGAAACATGTTTTTCCAGCAGAGGATAGCAGAACACACACATATTCATACATACAAATAAAAACACACCTATGTTCAAATCTTCCACTAATGTCATCTTTTTGTTTCTCTCCCTCACAAGAACACACAATTTTAAATAATATATAAGCATATAAATACATACAAATACATATGAATACATGATAAACAGATTTATAAATACAAAAAAGAGGTGATTCATGAAAAAAAATAAAATTGACTTTTAATTCTTATGATCCTATATAAATTTGTTAAGTTTATACATACATATATATACATATACACACCCGTACCCAGAGGGACGGATATATAAATCAAATTTACAATGTTGGACCCGAGCTATAATTGGGACACACTTGTGAAAATGCAGGACCAGAGTGACAGAAGCCAGATTTCAAGAAAGATTTTATTATAAATCAAGGAATTGGCTACAATAAGCAAGCCTCAGCAATAAAACTTGTGGAACAGAGGGCAGTCTGATATTTTGACAACTTGGCTACTACTTTTTGAATCCTTTCCAACACTGTCACCTCAGAAGTGTGTATGCATCTTGAGAAGACTATATAAAAGCAAATCTAAAATAACTGGCTCACTAAGTTGTGTGGCACCACACAGCTCAGTACTCATACCGTGGAACTCTTTCAAGAGGGAGACACAGAAGAAAGAGAATCATTCTTCTCCCCAATTTACCACAGCTCTGGTCAGTCTATGGTACCATGAGGATGGCAAGTCTTGGTAGGCATAACAATATAAACACTTCCTGAGCACTAGACATATATAATATTAAACAGCATGCCAATCAACAATCAGCTATCAATCAATCAGTTACCAATAATAACTGATATTATTTCAGTTAAACCTATTTAAATTAGATTTATGTCAACATTTATAGAAGCAATTTACCCATCTGAAAAAGTACCTTAATACTGTCTTATAAACCAGTAAGGCAGAGGAAGATGAGTTATAGTTTCCATTATATTCTATATATTTTAGAGAAGCATTTTTCTTAATTATTACTTGTTATGATGTTAACGCCTTTTCCCACAATTGTAGATATGGAGCATAATATAAAATGTCAGAAAAAGAGTCCATAAAGATCTTCTTGTCCAAACCTGTAATTTACAGTTGAAAAAGTTACAGGACTAACAAGGTCAAATTGTACACTAAGTTAAAAATATTAGTAATAATGATAAGGAAAAAAGAAGCAAGAAGAAAAGGAAAGAGAAAATTTGTGGATATATATATATATATGTATATATATATAATATGGAAGAACATTTTGTTAAGTTCTCTTCATTTTTCAAATACTCAGAACACTGGATGAATTTTTTTAAAAAGATTCAAACATGTTCTATATATAATCTTCAATAAAAACTTCCTTTAGAAAAGAAGTCCTTGTTTCATTAGGGAAAACAGGGATTTCATTTCTTTGCCTGTATTTGTATTTTACAACAATGCTATCCAATCTACAGAGAAAGAAGAATCATTGAAATATTGCCAACTGTGTAGACTCTTTATATATCTTGTTAGGAATTCTCCATTTCCTCATGCAACTTCACCACTAGACATAATGCAAAATCTTTTTCTGTTCTCTTTCATCTAAGCTGCCTAAAGTGTTTCTGTTTTATTGCTGTTTTGCTTTTAGCCTACCAACCTGAAATTTATTACTTACCATTCTTGCTTAAATTTATAGTTGACCCTTGAACAATATAGGTGTTAGGGGTGCTGAACATCTGCACAGTCAAAAACGCACACATAACTTCTATATATCCCCAACAACTTAACTACTAATAACTTATTGTTGACTGGAAGCCTTACCAATAATATATTTGATTAACACATATTTTGTGTTGTTTGAATATATGTATTATATACTGTATTCTTATAATAAGGTAAGATAGAAAAAAGAAAATGTTATTAAGAAAATCATCAGAAAAACAGAATACATTTACTATTCAATAAGTGGAAGTGGATCATCATGAAGGTCTTCATCCTCATTATCTTCACACTGAGTGGGCTAAGGATGAGGAAGGAGAGGAAGGGGTTGCCTTACTGTCTCAGAGGTGGCGAGAGTGGAAGAAAATCCATGTATAAACATACATATGCAGTTCAAATTTGTGCTATTCAAGAGTCAACTGTACTTTATGTTTGCTTATATTTACTTTAAAATTTTATATTGGTTTAAATAGTTCACTTGCTAGTGAACAGAATAAAATGAGAGCAACTTCAGAAATCAGGTTTATTCCTTCAAGTAAAGGAAGTCCAGAGATAGATGGTCAAAGGCTGATATTACAGGCAATTCTGTGAAGTCACTAACCAAGAATCTTTCTATTTTTCTTCTCTGATGTCTTTAGTATTTGGCTTACATGCCCAAGATTATACCATGATTTAGGATGGTTGCTAGAACTCAGGGTATCCAGTCAAGTTAAGAACTGTAATTACAGATTTTCCTAAACCACAAGAAAACATACAGAGACCTGCTGCAGAATTTATGTTATTTGATATTTATTGCCTTGGATTGCAGATATACGGCAACTAGTCTAATTAATGAAACCCTTTGGGAAAAAAATATTTAAAATCAGCATGGTAGAAGAGGAAGATAATTTAATTGTGTGAAATTATTTTGAGGCTTGAAAGTGCAAAAAAACAAAAATCACTACACAATGCAATTTAAGAAGCTGTTCTTTTAAGGAAAGACCAACACAGACTGAAAAATGTAAACTAAACAAAAATGAGAAATAGACTTTCGTTAGACTCAAACTTCAGGTAGACTCAACGGTATAAATTAAAGGCACCATGTACTTTCCTTTCATAAATGGATTCAAATGTGAAATAAGAAATTTAGTCAAAAATATATGTTGAAATATAAAATCTATAATTTTATAATCAAATTTTACAGATACTTACAAAGAAGTAAATAACTTTTGACTCTAGAAAACAATCAGTCTCTAAAAGAAGTATAAGATCAAATTTCCTCTGTTCTCTAAGAAATAAGAGCTGACAGATAAGAACACATGTAAACTTATGCTACAAGTGAAAGGGCTATTGGAAGATCCAATTTACCATATTGATAGGGAACATAACTATCAAAGACTGTTCATAACTATCAAAAACTGTTATGTCATGTTGACGAAAAAAATCAGTATTCCACAAACTCCTTGTCATTTTTCTTAACTTACAAGCAGCATTGCCTCCAAATAGACACAGATAACAATATACTTTCATAGACATAGAGCCACTCTATTCACAATTAATTCCCCTTCATAGAACAGTGAAAAAGGGTTGAGATTGCTGGAAAAAACTAAGAAAGTAGGCAAATTATAATAAGTATAAAAGGGAAATGAGAGTAATTTTGTTTTAGAGTAAAACATTTGATTGTATAAGAAAATATAAGAAATAGCAAAAGACAAATTTTTGTGTGTGTTCAGTTGTAGAAAGTGTGAGAGGAAATTTATTTTATTTTCTCTAGTTTACTAGAACTATTTGTGTAATGGAAATTTTTAACAATTCTAAATACCTTTCAACTTTTAACATGGACCTTCACTTCAGAAACTACTATCAAAGAGAACATTCCTTTCTTTTATGTGACACAATCTATAAAATTTTAATAAGAATGATCTACTCTGCAAATAGAACTGCCAGATAAAATATATTAGAACCTTTTAAAATTCATCTGCACATAATCAGATTATGGCTGATCTAGAAATTAGAATCCTTACATTATATGCAAGACAATAAATTAACAAAGAATTATCCAGAGTCTTAGAATCCCTATGGAGAAAAGACTAATGGCCATAGATAGAATAATTGGAGCAAAATCCATAAAAATACAGATTGATTTTTCTCAGATCAATGTAAATATATTTTACATAGATATGAAGAGGTTTAGATCCTGCTCTTAGGGCATTAAGTCAAGGCCCATATCAAAGACTCATTGACTATAATAACTGATCCTATGATCATGAGCTAAAGCTTCTTGCCTCAGAGCAATTAGAATCCCCAACTAAATTAGTCAAAGGACCTTCACTTCTTGTACTAAGATCATCTTTAAACACAAGGCTCTTATACTTAGTGAACTTCTTTGAGTAATGAAAATTCTATTTTTACTAATTAATTAATTATAAATTATTATTACTTTTTCTTCCCTTACTGCCATTCTCTTGCAGAATACTTTTTTTTTTTAAATTTCAGCATATTATGACGGTACAAATGTTAAAGTTACCTATATTGCCCATGTCCTCCCTGCCCCCTCAAGTCAGAGCTTCAAGCCTGATCATCCCTCAAATGCAACTCTATAAATCTTATACAAGGAAGAAGATTCTCATGATTGTGTTTTCCATAGTTAGAGAATTATCTGTGCCCAGGAAAATTTTTGGTTCATCACATACCAAAACAAGTTTTAATGTTTTTCTTCATGGCAATTATTTTAAAAATAAAAGGAGTTAATATTATGCTGGCTATGCATAATTAGTTTATTGCAGAATCCCATTTCTTGTCAGGAGAAAAATAGGTTTAAATGGTCAAATGCTGGTCCTTTCTAGGATATGTCAAATTGTCATAAATAAATGAACAAAATATACATGATGGAAGTAAACACATTTTTAGCAATAGCTGTGTGATGCCTTTTACCATAAGTGTAAAAATCAATAATAAAAAGATATCTGGAGAAAAGGTTTTAGCTGATTATCATACTAAAGAGGCTGCTCTGGCTAAATCTTTATGCAAGAACCTTTAGCAGAACATAAACACAAAGCCATAGGGAGCATCAAAAATTCCATCATATGTATGTAATTACACTGGGAATGATTGGGTTGTGAAATTCACAAAGCTAAGATCTGGGAAAGTTAGAATAGCCACCTGGCTGCCTTAGATAAAACCTCAAATGAACACACAGAAAATCTTTCTTGAAACAACACAGTAGAGACTCATGTAATGCTAAGTAAACACTGTTTATTAAGATAGCGGAGCATATGGAATTCATGACTTCTCTGTGACTGATATAATTCAGGAAAAGTAAGAATGAGATTGAATTAGAGCCATGTCCTAAAATATCCTTTCAGTTACTCCAGATAGATTTCACATAATTTCTTTTCTCTAAGGCTATGGAGATGTCCTAACGATACTTTATTTATTTTCTGGACTGGTT